CCTAGATGTCCCTAGTAGGTCTTGGAGGTCTAGTAGTCACTAGCATCCCCGGTGAGTCTGGTCTTGTTTCTAATCTTTTCCTGAAGGTCCCGTTTGAACTCTTTGTTAAAAGGAAAGTCCCTGTTTGGTTTGTTCCTCAATAGGGACCGTGTCTCTTGTCTCTTGATCCCCAGTTGGAGCCCGAGTCTGTTGACTTTTGTTCCCTTGGGTGGCTTCTTATCCTTGTCTCCCTTGATGCATCTTCTGGCTAGATTTGCATTTCCCCAGTGGAGATTTGCCTTTTCCCCAATGGAGATTTATCTTCCCCGTTGGAGTTTGTGTCCCCTGTATGGAGGATTCCCCTTGAAGTATCATCATTAGTCATGTCTGAACAATTGGTGGGTATGCTTTAGATCTCTCCCCAGTGTGTCTGTGTTCCCACTGAGTGGTTACTCGTTGTTTTGTTCTTCTTTTCTCTTTTGCTCGTGTGTCAGCATTCTCTTGCATTCAAGCATCATAAAGCATCACTCTTAGAACTCATTTCATGATCAACATTTATCCTTTTGCATTCTGTCGTACCTAAGGGCAAAATTTTTGGTTTGTTATATTTAAATACCTTTCACCATGATTCTATGGAGATTGTTATCTCTCATTGCCATCTGGTAAAGATATTGAAATAGGGGCAACTATCATACCCAAAATTTTGACCCCTTAGATTTCATTATCATTATAGGTGCATCAAGCATGTCTTATCTAACCCTAACCTCTTTCAAGTTTGTCTTTGTCAAGATGCAGATGAATTAGGGCTTCACACTATTAAAATCAAGAATCTTATGGACTGATCAGTCAAGGTTTTGGATTGATCTTCTACATATCAAGTTTTCATAACATCAAGAGGTTCATATCTTACCAAGCACAAGTGCTATTTGAGTTTGTTACCAAAAGAATGGAAGCAGTGCTGTGCAAAACTCTGATTAGGATTTCTAGTTGAAAAAGTCAACTATAGTTTGACTTTTGGTCCACATGGGTTTCCAAATCTTGAACCATGGTCCATGATGTTTCTATGACCATGATGTTTCTATGACTTAGTTAAGTCCCCTCAAGAAGTATGAAAGGTTCAGAAACCCCAGAATACCAATGATCGATCCTGAAGATTTCAACTGTTCGGTTTGTCTGTCTGGAAAGTCAACTCTTTGACTTTTAGGGTTTTGACCCCAAATTGAAGTAATCAAAGTTTCCAACATGATTTTATGCCTAACTAGTGCGTTTGGTGAAGATTTAATCAAGAATTGATGTATAACTTATGAATCAAGAAATTAGGATTTATGAAAAACCCTTATTACAAGCTAATTTGGAGTGGTCATAACTTTCAAACCACACATCCAAATTGAGTGATCCAAAGATGGTTGGAAAGCTCTTGAGAATTCCTAAAAAGGTTTCCTAGGGGGTTGAGGTCCAAAAATGAGTGCTGGCTAGATTTTGGTTAGTACACTTGCACGCACTTTCACTTTATTGCTTTTCTAAGGATAATCTCTTATTCTCCTTTCCTTCTTGCATTTTCAAAATCTTCTCCCTTTTTCAAAACCCTGTTTTTTCTTAAGTAAATGCTAAGACATGTTAAGCATATCAAAACAATTTCAGAAGACTTAAAAAACCCACAACTCATTCAAACTATTTTGTATCCTTTTCCTTTTAAATTTTTTTTCTCAAGGATGAGACATGAGTTACTTTCATAGTTGAGATGTGACTCTCCTATCCCCATAGTAACGATTGAAATGATGTTGATTCTTTTCCACCCGAGATAATTAGTGGCACACTTGTTGATTTTTATCCAAGTTGGAGCTCTTCTTAATAGTGATGCAAATGTCCATTTTCTCATACTTGTTAGTGATTAGTTGAGTATTCTCCTTAAAATGACAAAATGTCTTTTTCATTTAAAATCAATCAAAACAAACACTTTTGTTATTATTACCATGAACTACGAGGTTTTGATCCTCCATTGCATTTTGTGGGTACGTAGGCATGAGACTCAGGAAGTTTTGTCAAACACCAAAAACCCTAAAAAAAATTTCTCTTCTCATCTCCTCAATCTTTTGCAAACAACCGGTTTTAAGCCAAACACAGATTTCCAAGAGGTGCCTATAGAGTACTATAAATGTTTTGGGTGCTAACACCTTCCCATTGCATAACCAACCATTTACCGTTGTTTCTTTTTTTTATTAGTTTTATTTTAAAACTTCTGTGAGTTTTATTCGCTCTTTTCCCATTCTTTTAGAAACAATAAAGTGTGGTGTCGACTCTTGCTTTGTGAGTTAAGTTAATCAATAGGTTAATCCCAATTTTTCACCGCTACAACTATGTTAGAGGACGAAACTGCCTACTTCTGATTATAATAAATATCTACCTAATCCACATGCTTTCACACTCAATGTTAGATCTTAATTTTTTTTCTTTGGACCTTACAAACGGTCCGAAACAAGAACTATGTTACTAATAGCTAGAGCTGTCAAAATGGACTACCCGGCCCTAAACGAGCTGACTCTGACGGGCTCGGGCTTTTTAGGACTGAGTCAAAAAAACTCATTTCTAATATGGGCTCGAAAATTACTATCCGCGTCCGACTCTAGATAGGCTTCGGGCTACCCGGTCCTAAACGGGCTGTTTTTAATAAAAAAATCAAAATAAAAATGTCACAATATTGATTATAAATAAAATTAAAAATTATATTATTTTAAACATAATACATATTAAGTATTATATTATCTTTTATCAATACTAATAATGTGTTTTTAAATACAATACATGTCTAAATTGTATAAAATAATACTCGGATATTCGAAACTAATAGAATACGAGAAAAAAGTGTTGATTATATTAATGTATAATATTTAAAAGAGAAAGATTAAGTAAAGTATATATAAGAGAAAAATTAATGTTATTTTGAAGTAAAATAATATAAGTGACGATCCACACCCATACAGGCTAACCTTAATGGATAGCAGATTTTTTAAAATTGGACTAAAAAGATCCTGAAAAATATAGACTCTAATTTTAAAGTATAAATTCTAAAATTTTTTGAGTTAAACGGATCGGTGCATGGTATAATGTTGGTAATATCAAATCGGTTAACTAGTTTTAAGTTAATGATTAGCTTCAAATGTGTAAGTAATATGCTATGTTTTAAAGCAATTGTTTTTGGAGTCGTTATTTTGCTATGGGCCCTTCTTAATGGGACCCCCTATTTTCTCTAGCCACCCATGCTTATGTCGACAGAACTTTTATATGAGAGGTTCCAAATGCATTTCCTGGTTGATAAAATACCAATTGACACTCATCCTTTATTATTAGTCAACAATAAAACATAAACAACTACCTTTCAAGGGCAATATAGTAAATCCAAATACTCTCCAACATAACCACCCTCATTTCCATCTGTTGAGTCCTTAAAGGGCATGATTGACATTGAACACTCATAATAAAAGTCTCAACTATACATCCCGACGTTCACATTTTCTCACTCTACATAACCCTCTCTCTCAACAACCATCAATATTCATCACCGTCCATCTTCCATTTCATCACCATCCTATACATGAGGAGTGAGAAACAAAAATAAAAACAAAAAACAAAAACAAAAACAAAAGGTGGTAGATGCATGAGCCACAACAACAAAACACACACATTATCTCATACAACCACACTCTCACCACCTTCTTTTCCTCCCTCTCTCATCACCTTATCCCTTTTCAGGTACACCCTTTTCATTAATTACCATCAACAATGGCTTCATCACTTGTTCTTCCTATTTCCGTACGTTTTTGTTTATATGGTTATATCATATGTTAGTGTTTTTTAGTTGACTCATGATAAAGTCTTGGTCTTTCTTTGGTTTCCTTTAATGGGTGTTTCTTGAATTTTGTTATCAATGTGTGTGGTCAATATGGGTTTGGCTCTTTTTGTTCTTGTTGCTGTTACCCTTTCCCAAGAAAGGTGGTAGGTTGATGCAGTTGAGTTGACTTCAACATAAAATGAGAAAGTCTTTGGTTTGTGTTTGTGATTTTTGTTTTTGGTTAGTGGGGGGTTTGGTTTCATTATGTTAAATAGGATGATACAACTTTGTTTTTCTCAAAAGATTTGATTTTTTTCTTCTTGATTTGGAATGAGTTTTATCATGTTTATGTTTTAACAGGGTTGTTGATATGTTTTTCTGCTGTGATCAAATTGGATTTATGATTTGAATGATGTTTCAAAGGTCTAATTCTAGGTAAGAGTGACCGAAACTGTGTCATGATCAAGGTTTCGTTGCATTTTTGTATCTGTTTGTTGGGTTAGTTTTGCTAAGGTGGTGTGATCTTGAGCATAAAGAGCATGCGAACTTTGTAAACACTTCACAAAAGTCAATGATTTTAGGTAAACCTTTGTATGTGTCTGCCTAAAAAGGGATGGTCTATGATGCAAGAAGGCTGAGTGAACGCAGGAAACGGGCTTAGCTGCCTAAAATAGGCCTAGCCTCCCGAACCAGTATTCAGGGCCTACTTCGTTTAGTACATGTGGCCCACGAGGTGTTTAGGTAGTAACAGTCAGTAAGCATCAATCAAAGGGAAAAATTGCCTCTCCCATAATTTGGGGAGAAATTCTTCTGCTTTGCTCCCATGTTCATGATAAGGAAGTGGGAGAAATTGCTCCCTCAGACCCAAGGGATCCTCTATAAATACCTCAATCTCAGAATTGAGGAGGATTCAAAGATTTTTTAGAGAAAAATACACAGCCTATCTCTTGATTGTTGTACTTTTAGCTAGTACATTGTGTGATCTAGTTCTTGATTTCCAATCAATATTCTCATTGAACTGGTTATAGAACTTGTTTCTTCTCCTATAGGTCTAAACAATCAATCTCATCAGCCTGAAAATTTTCGACTTGTGTTATCGCTTCATTATTACCTCCTAAATTGAAGGAAAAAGCTGGTATGGCCGGATGTTAATCGTTATACTTTGATGACTTGGTAGAAACACGAACTAAAAATGGTAAGTTTAAGGAGGCGCAGACTTTTGGGACTATGCTCAGGTAATGTTGGTAAACTTATTCATCATGCTTTTGAATCTAACACTTAACTGAGTTAATTTTCCAATTGGTTTTCACCTTTGCAGGAAGCAGTTCCTTTGTTTCCCCTCTTCCTCTATATTGCGAGAATCTAACTGGTTCTGTAAATTCGTCATGGCATGCTAAACCAAAGACTGAACAGCCTATGCTTTCGGATAACGCAAGCATCCCGGACTGTGTAGGAATAAGTTTACTACTACTAAATTATTGTTATAGTCTATCTAGCATTCATATCTTAGACATCTAAGAACTTATACTGAATTGTTTAACGTTTACCAGAATACCGTTGTGCAAGAAGAACCGGATTCATCGAATATTTCTGGTTCAAGCTCTTCCAAAGATCAGACTATTCAACAAACCCTTGGTTAGTTCTTAACTAGGTTGATTTTTTTTCTCATTTTCTGTTTTATGTCTGGTTTAGTTTTTAATGGAAATTTTGTCCTATTATTTAGCAGCTCCTCCTGTCAAACGTAGGAAGCGACATAGGAGAAAGACTTTGCATAGTCAGGATGCTTCCATGAGAGGTGTCTACTTCAAAAATATGAAGTGGCAGGCAGCGATAAAAGTCGACAAGAAACAGATTCACCTAGGGACTGTTGGATCACAAGAAGAAGCTGCTCATTTATATGACAGGTACTATTAATCTTTGAAGCACGGATACAGACACGAAACTGACCTTATCAATACGGATACAAATTTAAATGAATTGAATAGTTAAATGTAATCGGTTGGACATGAAACATGTGCTGTTGTCGGAAATCTACTTTTAATGCTTGAATTTCTTGAAGGAAGACAGTATAAAATCGATGGGACATGGAACATGTCCTTCCATTACAACCGGTGTATCTGGTCTATATATAGTCCAGATACACTACTTATTCAATGAATTTAAATAGTAAATTTTTTTTTGTAAATAGGACCAAAGAGGGAGTATTATTTTAGTTATGGTCTACTTAGTTTGAAGAACATCTCATTTTTCTATAGGGCTGCTTTCATGTGTGGGAGAGAGCCCAATTTCGACCTTCCGGAGGAAGAGAAGCAGGAGCTACGCAAATTCAAATGGGATGATTTCTTAGCGATGACTCGACAAGCAATCACGCGAAAAAGTAATATTTTTCTTTGAACTACGCCACATGGTTTATTTCGTAGAGTTTAATAATTATGCACTGACAATAAGACACTAACGACATAATATCATTTTTTTAGAGCACAAGAGAAGTCTTGAGCTGCAAAATGAAGATTGGGAAAGTAAGCAAGGAGTAAGTGGTTTCTCTACATATGAAGATGCAGAGCAGGAAACATCAGGCTCTTGAGAATTATGATCCAGGAAGCAAGAGGGAAGATGAGTTATACCGACTAGTTCTAATCCAATTCTATATGCTAGATCCATTTTATTGTAGAAAAATGCAGCATTTATAATGTCTAAGACATTCAAATAGCTAAACCTTAACATAATAAAAAGTACATCTCAAGTTGGACGTGTCAATTTTGAAACAATGCAAATAAAGATACTTCTCTTCATTCCTACATGAAAGAGATATCTACAAGTTTTTCTTTTGAGTAAGTGATTGATGAACATATTTTAGCAGAAATTGACTTGATTGCTTAAAATTTGCAAATCACTCTAGCTTGATTGTGTTCAGGTTTAGAGGCAGGTACTAAGTAGAAATTATGCTTACTATAAAATAACTTTTATGTTATTTTGATAAATCTTACTATAATAAAGATATTTGTGTTCAATATTTTACATCTCATCAACTTTGTGTGAGCTTAGCATGATGAAAATTTAACTAAAATTGTTACACAATCTCATGTGTTATTAGCATGATCGTTTTTTAAGGTGTACAAGATAGACTATTGTTCAATATCTAAATTTGTTACAATTAAAACCTGGTTAAATGATCTCATAACATATTTGTTATGTTTAAATAGTGGTTAAACAGATTTTTTATTTATTTTTTCACAATTAAACTGTCACTAATTAACAGTGAACCTTCAAACATATATGCACACAAACATTAGCTAGAAGATGAGAAGCAAGTTCTGTTGATCCAACTTGTATTGTTTTTAGAAAGTGTTGCATGCATGAAAATTAAACTCATGGCTCAAGAACATGACAACACTATAAGTGGTGGACCGTCATATTTTATCGTTAACTCGGTCCATGACATTAAAAATTTATAGGCTAAGTTTCTAAAACTCGGTCCATGACATTCAAAATTTATAGGCTAAGTTTTTAAAACAAATAAGAGAATTTCTTTTTCCACTATAGATGTTTCTTATGCATCATGTGAATTTTCACATATGCTTTCTAGTTTCAGAGATATATCTCTAGACGCACCTTGTGCATACTCAACCAAGGACATATCCGCGGTATTTTGAAATTTTCTGACATCTTTATATGTCAGGTATTTTTGGAGATGCATTTTCGGAAATATTTGATATAACATCCAGCTGCATGATCACTCCTTCATTGTTGTCATACTCCATTCTCAACCAAACCCTTCACCTTAAAAACCCTTCATTCTCAACCAAACCCTTCACCTTAAAAATCCTTCATTCTCAATCCATTTTTTCACTTCAAATCTCCATCCTTTTGGTTCAACATATCACAGGGAGCAAAAGAAGATAGAGTTTCAGGTAAATATTGTTCTTTCCTCTCTACATTGCTCACATTAATCATCATTTTTTTCTAAAAAAATTTACGTTGTATCCAAAATGTATCTTCGAAACGTATATGAACTTGTTCGGATATGCATTTTCGAAAGTTGTCTGTGTTTATTTTTCATTCATTTTGCAGCAGTAGTTGAACTAATATTGTGTTATTGTTTTAATTGTTTTCAATAGATATGGTCCACCCCGATGTTTTCTCAAAACAAGTTGTTTCTCCGAATGTTCAAGGGGTTGTTGCGAAGGCGGTAGATGTTGGCAATGACTTTAAAAACAAGCAAGAATTTGAATCTCGTGATCAAATGCTTGAATGGATTCGTATGGAGGTCTCTAAACTTGGATTTTGTGTGGTTGTCAGAAGGTTCTATAATGGTTCAGATAGAAGATGCACCTTTGTGACAATGGTGTGCGAAAGAAGCGGAAAATATCGAACTTCTCTTTGGAATTTTAAAAGAGACGACACGGGTAGTAGAAAATGTGAGTGTCCATTTAAGATTCGTGGTTACATGTTGACAAACAAAAATTGGAGACTTAATGTGATATGTGGTTTGCATAACCATAATTTTTGTTTAAAATTAGTCGGTCATCATAGTGCCTATCGGCTCAAGCCAAAAGAGAAAGAATGTATTAGTTGAAACAGGGATGTCTCATACCACTTACTTTACCGGAGTGGACGACTCATTCAAGTGCAAAAACCGAGACATGGCCGAATCATTTTATGAAAAGGATGCAATATTTTGATAGATTGAACAACATTGAAAAAGAATCGAATGCACAAAAGTCTAAGGGGGTACCATGTAACACCCCAAATTTAATCGGAATATTTTAATTAGTTTATTTAATTGAGAATACTCATTTTTCGGTGATTTTCGCTAGTTTGTGGATTATTGAAAAAGTGTGCATTTTTGGGTTATTTATTTGATTAATAGTATATAATATTAATTTATTAGTATTATTATTATTTAAAATGAATATAAGTGAAATAAGGGTAATTTGGGCATTTGGAGGAGTTAGTAAGGGTAATAAGGGAAAAGCCCAAATTGTGAGGCCCAAGACTAGGTTTGACAAAATAGAATTCTGAAGGGAATTAGGATTCATTTGTTAACCGTGAAGAGTATTGTGGCCAGAGAGCTCTGAGGAGAAGATTGGAGGCAGAAGATTCCCGGAGATAATCGTGAAGGCTTTGAATCGACTAAGGTATGAGGAGTATAACTTTTCATGATTTTCCATGTGAGCCTTTCAATGTAATTATGGATGATTTTAGGTTTAAGTGATTTTAGGTCGATTGTGGGAAAAGGGGAAATTGATGGTGAGGACCCTGATGGTTGTGGTTAGTGGTAAGTATTCCTGACTATTAAAGCATGGATATGAAAAATAGTGATCTTAGGCCTTCGTGGCCAAAAAACTTGAATTGTTATATGTTTGATCCTGTAGGGATAGAATATTGGATAGTGAGTAACTCTAATGCCTTAGGTGTAATTGAATGAAAAATTGTGATTTAGGACATGAATATGTTACGGGATTGGCCTAATAAACCGTAGGTTTTGTGCCTTTATCGTCGTAGGACCTTAGGGATGATTTATAGATGTTTTGGGGGCATTGGGTGATATTTGAGAATGTCAACGCTGTGTCTGAAGACGACGAGGATATTGATTGTGACCTGGACTCCTGGATTCAGCCGTGCAAACCAGGCCAGAGCCTCAACAACTGGTCCGTCCAGGATGTCATCCAAGTGACGCGTAAAGAGTAATGCTTTGTACTTTTCCAATTATTGTACAACCTTATGCTCTACCCGGGGCATAACAGTTTTATTGTCAGGGCCTTGATTGCTTATGCATGTACATATTATCAATAAATCAAAGGGCGTTTTCTTTGCATTCCAATTTTGTGATCTCTGTTATTCCTGTTTTATTTTTGTTTTGAAAAACAATAAAATGGCAATACGGTTTGTGCTAACCTGCATATCCTCGTTTTAAGCTTAACCCTTGCTATTGCAGGATTCACACCACAAATGACATCGACTCTGAACCTTCTACGACTCACTTCGACTTTGATTGCCCGATATATCAAGCTGAAGAATAGATTGATGAAGATGAAGACCTTCCTGAAGAGTTGGCTCGATTGTTAAAACAAGAAGATAAGATCATTCTGCCTCACGAGGAAGAGATTGAGATTGTTAATATGGGTTCTGAGGAACTTGTCAGAAATGTCAGGATAGGGGCTACATTACAGAGCGATGTTAAACAAAGATTGGTCGAGATGCTTCGAGAGTATAGTGACATCTTTGCTTGGTCATATGAAGATATGCCCGGTGTCGCTACTGCGAAAATCGGCGCCGGCTGAACAGAAGAGTTGCCACCGTGCGTTATTTATCCCAACGGAGGGAAAGGAAACGCTCGAAGTAAACCTACCGCAAAGACGGGAAAGAAATGGTCATCGCAACCAAATCCTGGATTTGGGAGTCGGTTACGCAAGGGGAAGGTATTAGCACCCCTCACGTCCGTCGTACTCGACGGGATCCACGCTTGTTTTCTAGTACGAATTGTTATTCTATCTACTCTACAGGTCTAGGGTTAGAAGAAAAGAAAATGACTCGGCAAAGTATCGCACTTTATGCCTACTTATTCCCGTCTGGAACGAGAAATCAGAGTCAACGTAGTTCGCCTACCTACGGGAAAGGAGGGGAAGGTTGCTCGCTAGGATATCACATCCTATGCCTACGTACTTTCATACAGCATGAAAGATCAGAGCAAATGTAGTTCGGGCTACGAAAGACACAAGCTTGTCTGAATGTTTTTTTTTATCTCCTTATGAAAGGGTTTTTCCTGATTAAGAGTCCAAGCGGACAAAAATGACACTTTGATGTTTGTTTTCAGTCTTTTACGCAAGAACTGTTTTTTATGATGTTTGCAATCTCTGACGCACTAGAGACTATGATTTGAGGGTGACTACGTCGTATGTCACCCTAAGGGTAACACACTAAGCAATCAGATTACTGAAGAGTGACTCTCCAGCAACCTTTCTCAAATAGCTTAAGGGTCGTAGCGTACGACATCCATTATCCTTATTACTGTGTTTTGAATTGTTCTGAGATAGAAAAGAAAGTCTAAAAACCTAGGGTTAGAAATGGGAATCAAAACTACCCTAATGTTGTCATGCATGGATTAACACCTAATGTCTGTCATAATTCCCTCCTGCACAGAGGAAATCAGAGATCCTAGGGGATAAACGGAAAAGAAACAACATATATACAGTAAAGCAGTAAAATGCATGAGATGCAGCAAAACAAGCGAGGCAAAGAAATCCCACTCAACCTCGAACCTGGAAGACAATAGGCAAAGTGAAACAGCTTCACTTCAAACCTAAGGGAAAATCAACAAACAATACAGCAAAGAAAACCACACCCAACCCTAGCTCTGACAGCAACAAAACCCTAATCTTCAACAGATACCCAGCTTTGACAGGTACAAGCTTCATCTTCTGTAATCAGTCTTTAATGAACTTCTTATCTTCAATAGGCTCCCCAATCTTCAATGCAGACACTCACAGAAGAGAATCAACTAACTGATGAAATTGGAATGTTAAGAGTCTTAGTGATAACCCAGGGAAATCATTAAGATCTTAACACAGCAAGTGAAAGGTA